AAAAAAAAATATTGGAAAAAAATCAAAAAATATATTATTAAGAAGAGTATACCAAAATGTTTAGAAATTGTTAAAGATAGGTTGAGAGGAGCAAATATGCAATATTAAAAAACATTAATAGTGTATTTTTAATTGATAAAAATCATATCGGCATAGAAAACTAAAAATTGGTTATATCTCTGTATAAGTAGAGAAAGCAATTACTCTCTCTCTCAACACAGATTATAATGCTGGGTTCCCTGCTATAGATACTCATGCTTAGATTCCTTGTTACATTAATGAACAATGCCTACAAAGTTTTGGCCAATTACCCCCGCAAGATACCCTTAACCAAACTATGAGTTACTAGAGATGGAGAACAACAGCACTGCAAATGAGTTTCAAGAACAGAACTAGTAGGACAGTAAAAATTCTTGGCTTCCTTAAACTGTCGAAGATGCAATGAATGAAGAGAGGAAAGGAAGTACTAAAAATAAGCATTTCTTTTCACAACGAGAGTTTTTGCTATAAAAGTACAAGTAAAGTGAGACTTCTTATTTCTGGTAAATCCAGTGAAGTGACTTAAGGCACATACATTGAAACATCCATCCTACTACGCGACTGATACATTAGGATTCACATCTTGAACACAAGTCTTATATTCGATGTCATAAAGCAAGGATTGGTGTGAACTGACATGATCGGTCGCAATTAGCAAGCTACTTCTATTGTATAGCTCAAGAACAAATGAGCCTCCTGACAAATAAAAATAGAAAATCTCTACCGGAAGACATGAAGCTTATCTGAACTGTCATTTTCTACTTTCTTGTGAAAGAAAACCATAAATTAGTTGCCAATGTTTGATTCAATACAAGAGAACCGACCAATACTTATATGGAGCTGCACATTTTTCATAAAAGAAACGTTAGGCACCGTAATTGTTGCCCAACTTTGAAAAAAAAAAAAACGGCTAGGATATGCTCAGCCATAGATTGCATCCCAAAGCCTTTAATGAAAAAGGAAAAAAGAAGAAGATGAGGTTTTTACTCATAGCTAGAGTTTGTGAGGTATTTACTTGTATTGCTAGAGAGAACAATATTTGTTCTTTTAGAAAGTGATTGTAATTAATTTCCATATAATGTTTTTATATATTTGCCCGTATCGTAGATGTCGTCTAGATTGAATAAACTACATGAATTTTTGTGTGCCTCAATTTTTTATGTTATCATATAATATATTATCGCTTTTGCATGTTATATATAATTCTAACAGTTGTATCAATGCATTTTCTTAAAAACAATTTGTTCACGTGTAATATTATTGACATTTACTTTACTATTTGTATACGCGGAAAGTCAATAACAAGCTTTGAAAAAAACTTTTAAAAAATGGTGGCTAACTTCGAAGAAAAAAACAAAGAAAAAAAAGAAAGCTTGGATGAACATATTTTACAAGCACTGAGTGATATATTTTGTGAGGTGTTTAGTGATAAAGTTTGAGAAGTGTATGCTTTTTAATATACCATCCTATCGATCTCCTTTCCATCAATCAGGATTCAGGAGGATATTGCAT